TTCACGGCGCTTTTGAAAACTACTCGAAAAATTTTACTTTTGACCCCGTCAAAGTACCTACTAAATTCACTTTCCTATCAGAAAAGATACTGTTGAAGAAAATCCAAGCACTTTTACTGTCCTAAAAGTTGATGACAGACACAAAAAAAAAATAAAAAAACACACATCATTGTAAAATCAACATTCATCGTTCCACTCAGAATCTAAAAAAATAATAATAAATCTTAATCTTATCAAAGTCCCGCTGTCTGACTGTATGCTTAGATCTTTAAAACTACTCAACGGATTTTGATGCTGTTTTTTTTAATTGATAGAGTGATTCAAGAGGAAGGTTTATATATGTATATAACATGTATAATATAGTAGAGAAACACTGCTCCTTTTTTGTATGTAAGAGCATATCATGAAAAGAACTCTACTTATTTTAATACGGTTTTTACTAATAAATCGGTCGAGTTACGGGGAAGGTTTTAAAAAAAGTCAATAAAAGTTATTTCAATAGATTATTACTTGAAAATTGGAGGGTACATATAGCTTGATTTTTCAACTCATATGTAGATGGGTTTGTGCTAAAAAACGAAAAAATAAATTTTTTTTTGTCAATCTAAATGGTTCGTTACATATTATATTAATATCATAATTAGAAGAAATATGGCATACACATTTTGTACAAATATATTTATTAAAAATACAAATCTTTGGCCTGGACAACGTCGGGTGGGACAACTAGTATTAAATAAACCAAATATTATTTATTGTGATAATGATCCATTCTATTTTTTTTATAAAGGGAAATTTTCTTAGCGTACCACCTACGAGCTTTCCGCTTGTACCTATATGTGTACAAGTTGCATATTATTATATAACTGTATTTACATTACAGCTCGAACATATTCATTATGAGCTCACCTATATGAGTAAGTTCTCAAAGATTCCAAGCCTAAACTCCTCTCTACTTTGTCATCCAAATAATACCCATAGGAAACCTACCTAATATTCACATATTGTTGTAATTATAGCCTCCCTCCCCCTGGACCAAGTTTCAACGAATTATATTATGTAATGTATTTAGTATTATACTATAATTACCGAAGTAGGTAGTGTAATAGAATATATCTATATATATAAAAATAAGTGTACATTTTTAATAAATCTTATAGCTCAAGATCCACCGAACCGATTTCGATAAAAATTTCAGGACATATTAAGATTGATATGTAGATGGTTTCTGTGAAGTTTGTACGCTGTGCGATAAATGGTTCCGGAGTTATGGCCTCATAAGTGCACACCTGGCGACATGACCAAAAACAACAAAATGTATGAAAAATGAAAAAAACGTCTGTTGACATGACAACAACAATTCTATTTTCTAGATAAATATTAATTGGTTTGAGATTAAACGAGATTGATTTTTATTCAATTTCAATTGTATGGATTTAGGCGTTAAAAAATGCCACGACCAAAACGACAAAATATTGGCCGACGATCATGAAGTTTGTATGCTGTGCGATAAGTGGTTCTGGAGTTATGGACTCTTAAGGTGCACACTAAATAACAAAATATAATAATAATAAAAAAAAATTAATTTGAGAATTAAAATAATAATAGTTTAATACACAATTGCTTGCTATTGGTTACGGGCATCTTTGTTGATTGTTATTTTTTGTCAATATATTATATATTATATATTCTAACTATATATATCATAGATGTGTAATGAAAATCATTCTACAGAGTCAACTCTGGAACTACTTATCAGATCTTCTTGATTTTTTTTAAACGAAAGAGTATATCACGGAGAAGGTTATAATGAAACAAAATTTTAGGAAAATCCACCGGATAAGTAGGAAATCTGGGTGTCAAAAATACAACAGTGACGCAAAAGGTTAGGTTAGGATTTTGTATTAATTGATTATATTAATCCACCATAGGTAGAATACGACAAACTTGATATAACTTTGATACTTTAGGGTTAAATCATACACTTACGTACAAACTAGGGGTCCGCGATCTACCGCAGGTAGATTGCCTACCTGATAATATACTGCCTTGAATCAGAATTTTTATTCCGAGCAACGGAAAAGTTAAGATTAATACACCGAATATTAAATAACGAATTGAACAAAGTTTGAGTCATATATAGAATTGGTACATTTAAGGGGCAACGAAGTGCACGGGTTCAGCTTGTTTATAATATATCTTTATATAGGTATTATAACCTATTTATATTTCGTCTATAAAGTCAAATTGTTATGTCCGAAAATTTTTTTAAATTAATAGCCAGTTATATATGTATCATAGATAATAATATAATATTATATATGCTTATACTAAACTACCAAAAGGTCTTATCGTCAGTGCTTGAATTGGAAAAAAAATAGAAGGGGGATGCAAAAGTATAAAATATATGTGCGTCCCCGAACATTTAAATGTCTTACTGTTAAGTGGTAGCATATGTCCCCCTCCCGCTACAATGACATTTTACACCATACAGCAATAAACAAATATTCCTTTTTATTTAAAAATTAAAAATAAAATATTGTAAAATACATAATAATAATTGTTATTTGTTTTATAAATTTAAATATGCCCATAAATGTTTATATGAATGATCTATGTCATGTTCGTTTCGTTTTGGACATCTTGTTTCTTCTACACTTCTTTTACCCGTTTTAATCCAACTTTTTACATAGTGGTCTGGATTTTTAATATTTTTCAAATGCCATTGTAACAATATAGTAGGAGCCTTGTATTAAATTTTCAAGTATTTTTACTCAACAAATAAATTTTATTGATATTCATAAAAAAAAAAAACTAATAAAATTGGTAACTGAAAATGTCCCTAAACAGTTCAAAATAAATCAAAATATTTTGAAAATGTTATCGTGTATAGAAAATGCAAATATAAACAACCACTGAAAATTTCATGTATTTACGGTCATTTGTTTTTAAGTTACACCAAAAACCAAAATCGATTTTCTCGAAAACAGATTTTGTGTTGAAAACAGATTTTGTGTGATAAGTTATCGTATGTTATAACACATGTTACATTAATACTAATAGAATAAGAGATGCTCAGCAAAGTAGCAAAGAGTAAGGATTTTATATACTTCCACTCAATATAGGTAGGTACAACATTTGGCTGCACTTAAACTGCAGAAAAATTAACCTTTTTTTAAAAGTCGATAAGTAAGCTGCGGCAAAACAAAATTTAACATTATACAATCTGTGACAAAACCGATAAGATACATTATCCAAACTGCGGCAATTTATTTTATGTGCCTATACTATATGTATACTTTATATACATGTCGATAAGATAACATAAATTATAATATATATACCTATTACCTATGTGGCTATGTGATATTATGTAGGTAAGTATATCGTTCAAATGTTCAATTGATTTTGTTATGTTACATAAGTACACAGTAGAAGTAGTTTAAGAAGTTTAATGTTTAATTCAACATGGAATTTACAACAATGTTTATCCAGAATTGAAAACAATATTAGTAGTGCTCAGCAGTGATTAGAAAATATGGGAATGGTAAAAATAAAAAATATTAATTTGCAGGGACAAGTAAATTGGTCTTAAGAGAACGCTACACCCGCATGTGTTGTATCCGTCGTACAAATGTACAACATAGCAAAAACTGTTTTGCGCTGGAAGGAACCGAGAAAGCTACAGTCATAACTAAGAATTGAGATATTCACCACATAAAAAGGGGAACTTTGGCTGTGCAACGTTGTTTTTATTTTTTTGATATCACTTATATGAAAAAAGTTCTTGCTGTTTCAAAAATCATTACTGTTTGTGTTTTTCAAACTTGAAAAACTTTTTTCATATAAATGATATCAAAAAAATAAAAACAACGTTGCACAGCCAAAGTTCTCCTTTTTATGTGGTAATACTCTAGTTTCTTAGTTATGATTGTAGCCTTCTCGGTTCTTTCTCCTCGCAAAACAGTTTTTTTCTATGTTGTGCATTTTTAAGTCGGAGACAATACGCATACGGGTATAGCGTCCTCAACAAAAATATATAATTGGGGGACGAGGTGGCCGAGCGGTCTAACGACGCGGTTGCGGCGCTGCCGGTCGCGGTTTCGATTCTCGACCACCGGGCGGCATTTTTCTCCGGGCAAGTCACGGTGTCCGGTGATCAAGTGCCGCCATCCCCCACCCGGGCATGGCAGATACCTACGGGTTCCCAATCAAAAATTCTGCCAAACACAACACACACGTGTAAAAACCCTACCAATACAAACCCTCCTACCTACAAATCATAAAACCCCACAATCAGCTAATGGCCATAGTCGCCGGGCTTTAAAAGATCAATAAAAAAAAAAAAAAAAAATACATAATTATATTTAAATAATAAAACATAGGATGTAATTATGATGTAGGTACCTATATAATTTATGTTATCAAATCGATACTTCTATAATGTATATACGTATAGGTATATAAAATAAATTGGCACAGTTTGTATAATGTATCTTATCGGTTTTGTCGCAGATTGTAGAGTGTTAAATTTTTATTTGTAGCAGTTTACATATCAAATTTTAGAAAAAGGTTAATTTTGCCACAGTTTACCATCTCCCCAACATTTAATCGGACGGCTTACACAATAAGTATGTTTATACCTACAACCTACCTATATTATAAGACTGTAGAGAAGGTCACGCGTGTAGTGGAAGTGGGAAGTGGGAAGTGAGAACTGCGATTTTAAATTAGTCTATAACATTGTGTATAATATAAATAGGTACGTATTCTGAATTCCTGATTATGTTATGATATTGTGACAACCGGCTACCAAAACAACAAATCTTGATGTTCATTGTTCAGTATTATAACTGCCTACTTTGCGGTGTTTCTCAAACGTAAACCTAACGTCGGCCATATTATTATACACTCCCGGAAATTAAACGATAATAGTACTATAAATTATAGTATTATAGTAGATAGGTACTAAAATATTAATTCTAATAGTTTCATGCGAAATGAAGAGTGTTGGAAGTTTACAATGTGTATATTTTATGCTGTTTGTTATAACTATTTATATTGTGAGTTTGGGACGTTGTGCGCCGCAAAATAAAGGTAAGCTTATAATTTTGTGAATTATTTTACAAAAATATCGATGACGTCCGTCGTCACGACGGTGATTTAAATTGAATATTGTGAATATCGTGCTTACGACCAAAGTCTAACCTTAAAATTACCTCCATGGTCTACCAATATAAATAATTACAATTACGCTGTATAATATCTAACCAACTCAAACTATATACCCATAGGTACACGGTCCTTAGCCGATATAGGCGAAAACGGGAAGCTCACCTATACTCCTTAACCTTGTCTTTGCTATTTATTGTCCTGCTTTAGCGTTACCTATTCATTTTTTAAAGTACGCTCACGCCATAGGCACCACTGGAGCTAAATTTTAGGGGGTTCTAAAATTATGATTATCATGGTCACCTCAATTACCCGTAGCCAGTAGGGGCTTTTCCCCACTCCCCAAAAACATCAATATCAAAATCATGATTATTGCAAAATTTATTTCTAACTTCAACACTTTTACTTAGCTATTTAATCGTTTGTATTACACTTACAAGGTAAATAATTGTTTTATTTAAACAATATAATATAATAATATTATACCATTCAGACCGGAGACATTGGTTCCTCTTAGCATACTTGTGTAAATAATCAAATTTAATAATAAAAAAAAAAAATAAAAAAACCAATATAATATCACATGGCTATAAATAGCGAAACATTCCTGTGAACTTAATTTTTAGGTAGAAAAATTTGTTGGGAATCTTCTATTAAAATGTCTAATGTTAGCAATGAAAAAAAAACTTTTGTGAATTTGTAGGTACCTAACTGAAAACTAATTTACAAAATTTGAAAAAAATTGATATACCATTATTTTAATGATAAATTCTTATATACATATTTGGTGAATATTCCAAAAGTCTACGGTTGTTCGTTATGAAAATACCACAAAATATCAAAAATCGATTAATGCGTTTATTCGTTAATTTATTTTCCACTTAATATAAAATATTGTACAAATTATAAGTTTAAATGCTCATAAAAAATTAATATTCCGTTTAAGTAAATTTTTTTTTTTGTTTTAGGTAGAAAAACTTGTGTGGGTTTTTCTATTGAAATTTTTAATCTCGGATATGAAAAAAACTTTTATGAATTTCTGAGGAACTGAAAAATAATTTACAAATTTTAAAATTTCTAATGGCTATTCACAATAATGTATGAAAAATGGTCATTTTAACTTTCGGTAAAAATTTCAAGTGTCTATAATTATTCCTTTTTGAATTAGGTACAACAAAGTATAAAAAATTTATAGATAAAAATTCGGTATTTACTGATGAAAATAAAATATCTTAAACATTTTAAATTCAACCCTTATAAAAATTGATGTTATATTTCGTTAAACTAATTTTTTTTGTTGAATTTAGGAAACTTGGGGGGAATCTTTTATTAAAATGTCTAATGTAAGCTATGAAAGGAACAATTTTTATGAATTTCTAACAGAATAATAGTTTGAAAATTTTCAAATTATTGATGAATTTTGTCAAAATTTAAACTTTAAATGCATATAAAAAATAATCGAGCCTATGTTTCTTTAACTGTTTTGGACTTAAGTTAATAAAACTTTTATGAAATCTGCATTAAATTGTCAAGCTTTTTTACTAAGTGAAAAAGTTTTTATCGAGAAAAATTAAAAAAAATTAAAATTTCTTCAAAAATATAATCATAATTCATAATTAAATATTTCGAAAATGTTACCATTTATGAAAAATCCTAATATTAATATTTGGTGAAAATGTCAAGGGTCTACAGTTGTTAGTTTTTGATTTACACCAAACAAATAAAATCAATTTTGCGGAAAAATTAATAATTTGTTTCTTGAAGTTTTGTAAAACTACTGGGAATTTTCAATTTTTACCTCTTGAAAGTACCAACTAGATTCACGTTTCTATTACAAAATATGCTGATTTTAAAAATCAGAGCCTATACTACCCAAAATATTGATGGCAGTCGGCAGACAGAAAAATTAACACACATCGTTGTAAAATCAATAGCTTCTTTCGCACCGCTCGCAGAATCTAAAAGCTTACATAAAATAAAGAAATCGCTCTATTCTCAGATTATTTTTGGTGGCTTATAAGTTGTATGTTAAGGTGGGGAGCTGAATAATAGCTTCCAAGTGCTCCCACTCACCCACTAGATGCGACCGCGCCTGTGCCTCACGCACAACATACTTCTGTTCCGTTTGTAATTCTCTTCCATCCAGTGGTGTAATTATAGTGGGGGTAAAGGTATAATTTAACATTGCAATGTTAGGTGCGTGTATCTTTTTATTAATGAATTCTTATAGTCTTATGCACCTACTCAATATATTTTATCAATAATATAACCTACAGTCTACAATTTAATTCCAAATCATAAAACGCTACAATAATCGGCTGTATTATAGTACTATACAACGTATTATGTGGAATGTCAATTTTGACCCACTTTCCCATGTCCACAGCCCGTAGGTATTAATAGTTTTAAATAAATGTGTCAGAAAAATTGTAAATAAATCCTAATAATAAAAAATAATAATTAATATGAGATAATATAACCAGTTTTAATATCTTGTTGCACTGTTCCTATACATTGCGGGCCTTCTAATACAGTATAAAAAAAAAAACACAAAGTGTTTTATGACCCTTTTCGCAAATGTTTTATTTTGTTCGTACTTATGGCTATATTATAGAATTAATGAACTAAAATTGTATGAATTTAATGCAACAATGTTTCAAAAAATGTTTTTTATTTTTATTTAAATATATAAAATCTGTTTACAATAAAAAACAATAAGTAATAAGGATGACATTAGAAAATATACAAACATGAATAACGTGAAGTCTTCTTAGAGGAGACCGTTCATTGACAGAACCTAGGAAAAAAAATGTTAACTAAACATTAAATTATATTTCGTTTCATATTATGACACAAATATGTAAAAAAAAAAATAATAACAACCCGTTATAATAATATATTTATAATTTATTTATAATCATACACATATAGTATTTATAGCCTATTATACTATAATTATAATATAATATTATATATTATATAATTTTTACCCCACAGTTACTGTCAGCGTGTTTAAATTTCGGAACGATCTCAGATTTTTAGTTGTAGGTTTGGCAAACGACATCAAGTCCGCCTCTTCGCCGCAGTCGCAGCAGTATTGTTGACGATGACGGCATTTCGTTCCCAGTACAAGATCTATCGCTTCGACCAACCTATCTATAATATCGGAAAAGCGATGAGATAAACGTTAGTCGTTAATTAGGGGTAACAACTACAATAGTATGGACTATGGACAGATTACATAATATGAAAATTAATTTTTGGATTGCCACTAATAATACGGTTTAAAGAGCGGTTTGAGAGTAAAAAGTATAAAAGTCAATTCTCGAAATTTATATTGCTAAACTCGAATAGTTCAAATTCAAAAAGTAAAATGTCACAAGTCTTAGAGCTAATTAATGTTGGACATTGAAAATTGTGTTATGTAGTAAGGTATGTTAAAAAAATAAAAAGTATAAGCCTCCTAAAATCTGACCAAATCTCCACTTATGGCATACCCGCACCCGCACGAGACCCCCGAAAAAGTTAATACCAATAAATTACCTATACGGTATAGGTATAGGCTATAGCCTATAACTATTATAATATATGAGTACTTACATCGAGTTAATCCAATAACGAGTAACTTATCCATTGATTGTAATCGTTTAAAATATTATGTCCTGCAGCCTCGAAAACATAACAAACAATTGTCATCGGTTTTAATAATATTATGATTATTAATATTACCTATTGCCCACTTTCATATCACCCGCTTCACCCGGGAAAGTATAGGTACGATTCGGCTCTGAAATTACCGTAAATCATGAAATGTTTGTCTCGTTCGTTATGTATTTCCATGACCATTTCGACCATTTTAAGTTTCAGCCACGTGAATTTTTCGGTGCGATTCTTTTCACAGAGACGCTGTTGGTGCATTAGCATCGTATCCTCCTGGAAGTGTTTCATGTCTAGTGGTTACAACCAGAACATAGAACAGATTCGGATCGCCATTTCGTCGTTTTTACTCGCAGCGAAACCCAACTGAACGAAAACTTCCTGGAAAATTGTTTCCTTAAATGACTAAAAATGACCGATTTGTATGACAGTCCAATAAAACTACCTACGATATTCTTTTCAAAAATAAAAGTTTAAACTTAAATATAATATAGTACATAATAATAAATAAGCTGCACAGTGATTATTTCCGATCAAAAGCACGGGATTTTCATTCATGTTGTCATGGGAGGGAGGGGAATAAAGGGTCGGCACACCGTGATTTATACTTATTAGTTATTATTAGGTATGTACCTACCTACTGTTATGTGGTATATGGATAGGATTTCGCGTAGTGGTAGGTAAATCGTGATGGGATTTGATTCTCACGACTCGCAATCCCTTCTGAGATTATACCTAATGTAACATAAGTATACTAATAACATATCATAATATTGTACTGGATGTAACAGGCAAAGACCTTAAAAATTAAATGACTTTGGTTCTATTTAAAATTAAAAATTTTTTTTTAAGTATATTATAATATATTTATTATAATTGATTGACTTTTGCGCTACACTTATCATATATAACGTTTTTTATATTTTGTTATACTGAAAATAAAAATTCAAAATAGCCAACTTATAAATTTGAATTTTAGAAAAAATATGTAGATTGTAAAAACATTTATTTAAGTCATAATTATTATGCCTAGCTTAATTTCTACTATATTTTAAAATGTTGAAAAATTTGGTAAAAAGTGTAAATTCCACCGGGTTTTTTTTACCTATACCTATAAAATTAACATTATGGCGTAGGTAACAGGTACTTAAATAATTGATGAACAGATTTGAAATTTATTATACATATATTATATTTAAATACAATAGTTTTAAAAATCATATAACATTAAAAAATGTTGATAGTTAGTTAGTTAAAATAAAATAATAAATATTAAATTAATAAAAAAATAAGACAGTCGACAGTTGATGTGTATAGCTATACTAAAAATAGTTTTAATCTGTGCATTTTACCATCAACTGTTTTTCAGGGCAAAAATACATACCGGTTGAAAGTACAATTTTTTTTCAGAGAAAAAAAAAGTTTTGGTGGAATTTACACGATATAAACCCTACCCTAAAATCAACTACCTGTCTACCTATAAATTGGTGGAATTTACAAACGCCCTTATTACATTGAGCTACAGATTACCGTTAATCAAGGTGGAAGAGATCATGAAAACATTACGATGGTTTTGCTGATGTCGTAGTATAACAAAAAGTGTGTGTGTTACCAGTACGCTCGCGGGAAGTGAAACTTCTTTTAAACGGTACACGTGAGTTAATATTAATTAATTTAAAAAATGAGAGGAAATTATCCAGAATTATTTATTATTGATACTTTTATTATTTTATATTTTTATTCGACAGATCGATGGATAATTGTTTGTAGTATTGTTTATATCCAGGTAAAAGCTTTGTGAGTGAATTAATCAATTAATAACAATTAATTAATATACTAGATGGTAACCACAGATATAAAATACTATTTATATCTGTGATGGTAACTGATATTGGGCTCTCAGTATAGATGCTATAATAATCGATCATTAATTTTTCATATTAATTAGTATGATACAAGATAGATAAATATGTTTTCTATTTTGCAACGTTTATACAATATTTATTCGCAGCAAAAAAAAGTCCCTTAACTAACGAGGCTTACGACCACCGCTTACCTCGCAACGCGTACCTCTTAATTTTTTTTTTTTTTTTTGATATTAATTAATAAATTCACTCACAAATCTTTTTTCTGGATAAAAACAATACTTACCTATTACAAACGATTATCTATTGTATCTGGCTAACTTACTTTCATTTTTTGGATTAATTAATAATAACCGAACTGCGAACTAACAAACATTTTGAACGTCAGTATAATATTCTACAAATTTATTACAAACTATTCATTACACACACTATTATTATTTAAGTCGTTTCCGGCTAATCACATGGTAATGAATCAAACAACGCTACCAAATGTTAACAGACGTCGACATGTGTATTTTTTAATGAACGAACAACAATCGTACACACGCTGCAGGTATACCTACATAATATCTATATATTATTATAGTTAGGTACTGTATAGGTGGTGTACAATCAGACCATAATAATATACTGGTGTAGGTATAAATGTATAATAATGTGTCGTAAATCCCATCGGCACCACGAAGCTTTTCGAGTGCATACAATATACATGCTGCCAAGCATTATATGTATGCATATTCATCGTCTCCGTCACGATAACATATGTACTGTACGAGGATCATGGTATATACGCGTGTTGTGTGTTGTGATACCCTAACCCAACGCGTTATGGGAGTCATGATAATTGAACCCGCTGTTTAGATAGCTAGTCGTCCGATAACGATTATAATACGCTTGTTGCACGGATGATTTAAAACACGTGTCTTGTATTTGGAGTCCATTAGTAGTACAAGATAACATATTATACAAATGCGATATTTTACATTATAAATTAATTAAAAATCATGATACAATTAAATCGATATTGTGCGACATATATAAAATCAGACAATAATAATTATAATATATCAATATTATTATCAAAAAATAAAAATATCGATATGTGAAATTAAAATAGTCTTTCCAATAGGCAATAGGCGCGGTGTATCCATCTAATAATCTTCGAATAAAATGTATGCCAAAACATTTTCAACTCTGCTTTAGTGACTCAATTCTGAAAATTTGGTAAATTGAGCTTTAGTCATGGACAGTGTGAATGTCAAAGTAAATTTGCGAAGCTCGATAACCTATTTTGAACTTTTATGGAATTTTTAAATAAATGTTATCAAATTTTTGAGCTCTTTTGGACTACTGAATGTACTATTGTTTTACTACTGTTTCAAAAGACAACAGTAGGTAGTCCTTAAAAATGTTTTACAAAAAATATAAGTAGACGTAATATTTAAACTAGTATTTTTTATTATACTTGGGTCATTTTTACAAATTGTTAATGTTGATGGGATTAATATTAATGAACACAATTTTCAAATTACCTAGCCACCATATATTATAAACAATATAAACCCATTAATATGGACATTTTATCCTATTGGAACACAAAGTTTTATAACTCAAAAAACTAATCCTATGCATTTTGATTCTGAACAATTTATCGTCCTGGATAACATAGCACACTTACCCCCCTCCCTAAATACGTGCCGGCCAGTGAAAGTCCTGTATCTGTAAAAATGAATGGAATTACGCCAATGCTATGATTAAATTATAATATTGCACAGTTATCTTCGATTTCATAAACAAAATATAGTTCAATTAATTTAATCCTCATAAGTTATAACTAATATGACTAGAAAATTATGAAAAAAATGTTTTGCCACTGCAATTTTGCAGCTCATACCTTTTGTGACTCATTTATTTTTATCGTTTATTGTACTCTTACAGATAATGTGACAAGTAAAATTGTTTTTCCGTCAGATGATCAATCCAAAGCCACGGAAACATATTATTCGGCCGCTGAAAGTAAGAGTTATAATATTATACTGTAACTATAATTTGTTATAATAATATAAGCTAATAGCTATATGTATTCCAAAAATAAAAATAAATTATATTAATTGTTATTTTTAATGTTATAATTGTTTTAATTTCGAATAAGTGTGCAGCGAGTATTCGAAGTTGATTTACAGTTATATAAAGGATCCAGTATTATTATTGGGTCACAACCACATTATCAAAGTTAAAGATTGTCACGATGTCTTAACCTTAATCGTTAACGGCACGAGGGCCGATCCAAAAGAATTTCCGCACATGGTAATAACAATAATAATAATACGAAACACACAGGCAATAGGCATGTATTACAGTAGGTGTAGGTTAGACATTTATTTGAAAATGTATTGTTTAGGCTTTGTTGGGTTATAACAAGAACCCTAAAAGTAACGCATGGGCCTGCGGTGGATCACTGATCAGCAATAGATGGATCCTGTCCGCAGCACACTGTGAAAAACTGGATGATAAGTTAGTATGATATAGTATTATATAATGTTAAATCCGCACTCCTATGACAGACCAGTGACATCATGACTGAAAACATTAATTATTTGAGTTTCACTGCGCTTGCGCACATATGTCACTATGTCTTTTGGGATAGTGACAATTATAGGGACTATAATATTATATATACGTACCACGCAGATATATAACAGGTACCTATATATCAGAAACACCTAACAAATGAAATAACTTTTGTCTTAATCAATATATTAGATTCTGAGTGAACGATGAATGTATTGATTTTACAATGATGTGTTTTTTTTTAAATTTTTTTTTGTGTCTGTCATCACGTTTTTAGAACAGTAAAAGTGCTTGAATTTTCTCGACAGTAGCTTTTCTGATGGGAAAGTGAATCTAGTTGGTACTTTGGGGGGTCAAAAGGTTCCTAGTAGTTTTCACAAGCGCTGGAAAAAAACAACATAAAAATTAAGAAAAAACAGGAATTTTTACGCAAAATCGGTTTTTCAAAAAATCGATTTTGGTTTTTGGTGTAACTCTTAAACAAATGAACGTATATACATGACATTTTCACTGGTTGCTTATATTTGAATTTTCTATACACGATAACATTTTCAAATATTTTGATTTATTTTGAACTGTTTAGGGACATTTTCATTTTTCATTTTTTTTTAGTTTTTTTTCTAAAAATATCAATAAAATTTATTTGTTAATTGAAAGCTTGAAAATTTAATAGAAGGCTCCTAGTATATTGTTTCAAAAGCAGATGAAAAATATTAAAAATCCTCGGTGACAATTATTTTTATAAGCATTTAAAGTTCAAAAATGACAAAATATGGGAAAATCACGAAAATTAGCAAATTATTTTGAGTTAAGAATTCGTAAAAATTTTTCTTTTAAATCTAAGGTTTTTAAATGTAATACAAGATTCCTTATAAGATTATCTACCTTTAAAAAAAAAAAAAAAATGTCTATAAGAAAGTCTAATACAGTTTATTTTATAGTCATTTTAAGTTCAACTTTGGACAAAACTACATAAAAAAAAACCCAGAATAACTATTTTAGTTATTTTGTTGTGATTGTGTAATATAATTCGTGGGTACTTGAAACTTCTAAAGTACACTATTATATATATCTATAGATTATGGACTATGATAGTATCAGGGTTTGTTGACGCATAACGCATTATAAGTACCTAATGGATATTGTGATATGATTAATTTGGAATTTATTATAGGTACCTATTTTAGGTAAATTTTTTTAATACGATAGATAAGTATATAATATGTCTTTTACCTAGACTGACATACCGTCTCCGCTCAGAATCGTTTTTTATTATACAATGATATTATATCATTGAATTCAAATTTAATACTATCCATTATACAGTGACCCACTTGTAACCTACTGTACAGCCGAGCACCTTTTTTTAAATTTTATTTTTCATTTACATACGCTTAGATACGTAATACGTATAGTACCTATAACATTATTTATTTTAATTTCTAATATTGAAAATAAAAATTCAATATAGCTTATTTGTAAATCTGGTTTTTAGAAAAAATGTTATTGTAAAAACATTTATCTAAGTCAAGTGGAGAATTTTTTATGTTTTTTTAAAATGTTAAATGTCTTGGAGTTAGACTCATTGATTAAAAATCAAAAATCAAATCATTATTATTAATCAAGTTATTTCTAAAAACCAGATTTATAAATTGGCAATTTTATATTAGATTTAAAATCTTTTTATTTCCAGTATTAAAAAATGTCATACTTTATAGTTTATACATATTGCGCAAGTGTCTGTAATTATATATACAAAAAAAAATGAGTTTACTGATTTCGCATTTGCTACAAAAATGGTTTGTTTTGATGAATTTGTTCTGTTGTGAAATGTGAAAACATTAATATTATATATTATATTAGTATTTATTATTGAAGAACGTTCGTGCGCTGGGCACGCCTGGGAGACCTCAACTATCTGTTGGACACCGACGATGCCAGACCAATGGACTACCAAATCGAAAAACGCGTAGTGCACCCGAATTATCAACCACCGTCATTGTACAATGATATAGCGTTGTTCCGTTTGGACGAGGATGTTAAGTTTTCGGCGTACGTACGGCCCATTTGTCTTAACGCAGATCCAAAATTGCAGTCGAGTCCTTCGCAGATGGTGATAGCAACTGGTTGGGGACAGATCCACTTCAGTTGGTTTATTTTCCTTGTCTTAAACCGATTATCGTCCAGGGCCGTACATTTAAAATTATATGACAAATGTTATTTGTTTGAAAGAGAAAACTCTTTTTAATTAAATTGAAAACAATTTTAATAAAAAAAATGTTAAAGAATGCGGTCTCCATCAGTGGCGTACTTACAAATTCATTCTGGGGGGTGATATCCGAAAAAAAATCCGTGCATCAGATGAATAATCGCTATTCTTTCCCGTGTACCTTTAATCGTTATACTACATCTATGTAAGGTGCACTAATGAACTTATTAATGAAAACACGGTGAAATTGAATGACAAATAAAAGATAGATGGCTCTTGGGATAATATAATATCATCCAGATTACGCCCCTTAAATACGCCACTCTCCACGATCGTTATCAATGTTCAAAATTCAGTGGGTATCTATAAAGTATCTAGATACTTAGCAAGAAGACCGTTTAAACTGCATTTTATATCCCGGGGTCACTAAATCTATTAATGCGGTCCTGAGTCTTGATACATTTAGAATAATGTCACGTAAGCATGATTACAAATAAACCATTTTACAGACGGACCATCTAGTCCGGATCTGTTGAAAGTGATTTTGAACATGATCCCGGCAAACCAGTGCAAAAGCAATTACGCGTCGACCGGGGTAACTCAGTTGGCGAACGGAATACTCGAAGAAAGCATGATGTGCGCCGGCTATGCAAATGGTGAAAAAGACACTTGTGGGGTAAGTTGAATAATAATATTGTGTTTCGTGTTTGACGTTTTAAGATGATTACTGGACTACTGGTACCAGTAGCTCAACGAGGATTTATTGAAGAGGGTAAAAAAAATGTATTTAATTCTTTTTTTTTCCGTTCCTTTCCTGAGTTTATACATACATTTTATTGTCAAATAAACACACACAATTGTGCAAACACAGCAAATTTTGGAGATGGAGATCCAACTTAAAATCTCGATTTATGAAAGTATGGTTGCCCAACAAACTATGATAGATGACATAGGAAATGAATCCAGATACTACTACTAGTGCTCTTAGTGGACTATTTTGTTAAGTGTCACATACAATAATCTTATTAAAGTCTGTATACTACAATAATGATTAAACATTTTAAGTAAATAACAAAGTAAACAATAATTATTAATTACTAGGTATTTGATTAAATATAAACTTTGTAGATCAAAACTGTCACCCAAGTGAGCCCCTCAGGATGAAATCCCAAATGGGGCAAGATAAAAATTATTTATAATCTTATATTAGTTATAGCGATTTTGGTATTAAAGTACATGCAGTTAAAAATTCCCAGAGGAGGGGGTGGGGCAATGGCCCTCTTGGCACCTTCCTGCGGGCACCCATGCGTCACCAGATCACTTGCATTTAGATTATATCGCCTGTCATGTGATGGAATTTTTGTAATGATGGATCGTTGGGCAACAATACCATCTTACAATGTTTCAAATCAACAGGTTCACATTATCACTGTTGATTGGAAAATACATTTCAAGATAATTATTCCGGGGATATAATAAACTGACATCGAGACAATTTCGGTGGACCTCAAATGTCTGGTGTGATGAGACCTTTACTGTTACTAACTAGAATGGTGGTTTTAGTTTTAAACTACGGACTATAATATGGTATATCTAGTCAATAGTTTAAAAATTAATTACCACTATTCGAGCTAGTCACAGTTAAAGTCCTGAAATTTGCGAGTCCTATACTCTCTACCCCTTTCACCATGACGATACCAGTCCATTATAATAACCTAGTCCATGATGGAAACTATACTTTTTCCTTGACAAAAGATTTGTTCTCCTAAGATATCTTCTTGTAACAATGTCGGATTCAGTACCTACCTCTCTATCTACCCGGAGCCCATTTCTTTATTATTGGTCTATGGTATGGACTACGCAGAGTGCTCTATTATAATATTTACAGTCATCCGTTTTAACTCTATTTCTTTGCTGTATGGTCACACAGGGTGATTCTGGAGGTCCACTTCAAATAGCGCACGACAATTACATGTGCATGTACACGCAAGTTGGCGTCACGTCGTTCGGTAAGCTGTGCGCCAAGAAGAATTCACCGGGCGTTTACACGAGAGTATCCAAGTTCTTGCCGTGGATCGAACGAATCGTTTGGCCTAAAAAGTCTGCCTGAAGTGAACATAATAATATAGATTAAGAGGATACCTGAGCGTGTGTACAAAAATGTACAGCATGGACAATTTTGAGTTCACAATAATACATTTGCTCTGCAAACTCTAAAATTGGATTGGCTTGTTATAAAATATAAAGGTAAGAATGTAAATTATTATCAGGGTATCTCGGATACTCTTCTTGATAAATATTTTTATTAAGATGCAAGTTATGACCTCTTTGAGACTGTACATTTTGTTTTTTTTTTTTTTTTGAAAACGATCATAACTCACTTAAAAATAATAATATCAATAAAATCTTCCGAGGTGTTCTAGATAATAATATCACCTTAACATTTTATCATGAGTCAATTCACTCTAATTTTAAAACAACATATAGTCAAATGGAATATTGGTTACGTAAAATTTGCCTTGTTGTAGGTTTTTAAAACGGAGACAGCTTATGCGTGTCGTCCTCTTAACATCGCTTTGCATTGTATTCGATAGTGAATAATAAACATAATTGTAGCTAGTAATCTGTAAGTATAATATACCTAGTCTGTTTATTTTTATTTGACGTCGTGTCTGAACCGGTGTTCATAAAATACCTAGTATTATTATTATGATATCATTTTTTTTTAATGACCACGCAACAGAGCCTATATTTAAGACATTTTAGTAGATGGCACTATCATTATAACTTATAAGATATAAGGACTAGACAAAATACCTACCTCGGGTACCTTATATGTTTTCTACTTATAAAACACATAATATTTTAACTGCTCATAAACCTCACTCCTCCAAAATAGCAATCATTACTGAAGAAAAAAGGTAAAATAAAAAAGGTGAAGATTTTTAGCATTTATATATTATAATATAATTCAATTACATACAATATAATACAATTGATAACTTAACCAATCGTATAAAATATAATTTGTATTTTCTTTTGTTGCTATGAAAACTATTAAAAATAACAGAAACTACAAAAAATCCGGTTTTTATGTTACAAATGATAATTTCAACAAATGTCCCAGTATAAAGTACCATGCAGAGGAATGTATGATCTATAGAGTATAGAGATTATACATGATGCTTTTACTTACATTTTATTACTAGAAAATAAAACCAATGTATAATGTATAATATACTTACATAAATATGTACATATAAAAGCACACGTCAATACATTATTGCAGAAATGAAATATCCATAACGACTTTAAAAATTTATATTGGTATTGTGTAATTATATTTACATTTGTTTTCTTGATTAGTATGATAGTTTATGAGGATACTTTGGAATTTCTGCCAATTTTAAGTTGGGCTTTTGCTTTTTTTTGTATTCTGTATTCTTTGCCACATAATGTGCATCTTTTTGAAAAAAATTTTAAATTAAAAAAAAATACACTTAGTGTTACGATCATTAATTTTCCAAATGGTGATGATTGTAAATTGTAGTGCGTTAACAAACTGTCTAGTGTCCACTGACTACAATATAGAGAGTACTGAGTAGGTAACTGAGTGTGTATATAGTTCGGTGGGATGTGTATAGCAGTTGAAGATCGCATAAATATGCGTATAGTCTATAATAGAACCTAAACATTGCTAAATATGCCATAAAAACAACAAAATATGCAAAAATAGTAGGTATGATATATGTTTTAAAACTTTTAAAGTTAGTAGGTATTGCGAATATTGTTGATAGCTGATACGTATTATTACTACAATAACTACAATATAACTATATAAGTTAACCTCGTCCATCGAGTCTTGACTGTATTTAAGCATTGTATTTATTCGGATCTGGTTTATTTAGATCTCTTCATCTCTGTGACTCTGTATGACTGTATATGTTATAACTTATAGGTTTTATTATTATTAAAATCATATACATATGTTCCATGTAATGTAATATATAAACATATTTTTAACATTCATAATATTTTAACTTTTAAGTTAGTCATGGAAAGCTAATTTATTATGGAAAAAATGTTATGAAGAATCAATAATCTAGATAAACAATGCAGCCCAAAAAATAAAAAAAAAAATTGTTCCGCCCAAGTGCCCACTAAGCCCCCCGGTAGAGAAACGCCTCTGCTTATAATAATCCGTGTTTATGTTTTTATACGAAAGCGGAAAGATTAGATTATTGTAACTAATAATAAATTGTACCTATATCGATTCAGCGGCTGCCTACGAAACACCGACAGTAAAGTTGGTCTTGGTTGTTTCGGCAGTATTGATAATATTTACTTTTAATTGCGGCGACCAACCATGATCGAGTACTGAAGAGGAAAGTAATTATTGAAAACAATGAATTAGGTAGGTACTGATAAACATCGTGAGTCCAAGAAACTAAAAATAACATATATAGCCATATACTATATAGGTAAATATTGCCTATATAAAATAAACAAATTACATATATTTCATTGGATCAATCTTTTACAGTACCTAATCCAAACGTATTTGTCGATGTTGTTAACAAATAATAAGTCTTTATGTAAAAAATATTGACAAAGTGGTCGGTACTTGGGGCAAGGGGTACGATAGACACATCCATCGAACACAAGGTGGCACTAATTTTTCACTCATGCTCCCTACCACTTTATATCATGTTTAAATATGCTCTGCCACACAACACTTTTTTGTCATTTTTATTATTATTATTGTTATTATCATCATCATCATTAGACTCATTAGACTACATACGATAAGAAAATAAGATAAATAGCTTGTATAATACGTATAGGTAGATATAATATAGTATACTTTTATGTTTTGTAACAATTTAATCTGAATAAATTGAAATCGACTGTGCACCTTGTTTGTTGTAAGTTCATAACACCTTATATAAACTAAAACTATTTAAAAACGTTTTCATATTGTTTATAGAGAACAATTATTGCAGTTGATTGAAGCACTGGATTTATAGGTTTTTTTTTTTGAAACATGTATTTCACCGAGTTAAGAACGAAAAAAAAAATTAGCAAATCATTACTTTGGAAGTTATATCCTTCGAAAGAATGAGATTTTACATTTATACGCATGTCCTAGGCACCATGGTTTACAGCGCTTATAACGAATTTTTCAATTGTTTTTTCGGAAATCTATGTATTAAAACGAGTTAAGACATATGGTACAAAAATAAATAGGCGGAAATTCGTACCTACACTCTATATTTTACCTAAGTTCTGGAACTTTTCTGTTTTACCGAAAACCATTTTATTACATTGGACTTAGTTTTAAAGTTATAGTTAATTGAAATGTATAGTATATTCATATAATATGTAGGTAATCTGGGGGTGGGCATTTTTTTTTGCACCATCGTTCTTAATTCGTTAAAAACATATGATTCGAAAAAATAATAAAAAATACACTGTGGTAGCTAAAATACAATACCTGGATTTTTAATAATAATACTCGGCATTCAAAGATGCTTGTTCGATACCTCAAAACCTGTTTTACAGCAGAGATAGTTCGTAATATAATATAACATTAATAAGTAATAACTAATGTATATATTATAAGTACCATTTAAATTTATTTTGATAATAATATATTAAATGCAATGTGTTCTGCAAAATGAATAATTAAACTTACAGTATTACTGTGGTATTACTCAAGGGCGCCCGCAGAAATATAAACCAGGGATAGGGCAAAATAAAAAGTCTCTGATAATACAGCAAATACTATTTTTTAACAATTAATATTAACCAAACAAACGGGAAAGTCATGCCCCTCTGGCACCTCCCTGCGGGCTCCATTGGTATTACTGATATAGTAAAATAAATGACTATACCTATATAGTGGCAATAGTAGTATAAATACATCGTAGAATATACTTAGTAATATATTATAGGTTGCCATCTTCACTCATAATCGCTTTTTATATGCAATAATTTATTGAAACCACCTGCTACTGTACAGCAGAGAGGTTACCTACATTCCTCTTTTTTTAAATTTTATTTATGTCCCTACCAGCTACCTAGTTTGCAATATATTGTTATATTGATAATAGTTTGTTTGTACAAGTGACAATTAAATATTATATTTTATATCTACGCGTATACCAACACCTACCAAAAGGTCTTATAAGTTATAGTTATATCTATTAATTATTTTAATACATAATTAATAAATGTAAGAGAATAAATAAAAAGTGTAATGTTACAAATACTGTTGGAAAAGAGTAAGGAACTATATACCTATACTCCCACTCAATACAATGTTTAATCGGTTTGTATACAGAATGTGCTCATACCTACCTATACATTACAGACAGAGAAGGTCACTTGTAATGGAAGTGGGATTATTTGCGATCTTAAACTAGTCTGTATAATTTCGTATATAAATGAGAATTCTGAATTTTCGATTATGTTAATATTTTTTATTTCTGTGACGTCACACCAACACAACAAATACTGATGTTCATTATTCAGTAACTACTTGCAGTGTTTCATAAACGTTAACCTAACGTCGACTATATATTCTCTCTTGAGTTAGGCGATAATAGCTATTATAGTAGATACTATTAAAATATTAATTCTAATAGTTTGGTGCGAAATGAACAGTGCAACAAGCCTACAATGTATATTTATGCTGTTTATTTTATGCATTGTGCGTTTGGGATATTGTGCTCCCCAAAATGAAGGTGAGTTTATAATTTTACTTTGATATTACGTTTTGTGAATTCTTTTACAATGCCATGTCATGTAATTTACATTTTAGATTTGAAGGTAATGACGAATTTATTGATTTTACAATGATGTTTGTTTTTTTGTCTTTTATCACTTTTTGGGGAAGTAAAAATGCTTCAATTTTCTTCAACAGCATATTATCTAGTAGGAAAGTGAATATAGTTGGTATTTTGGGGTAGTAAAAGGTAAAATAAATTCAAAATGGTTTTCAAAAGCGTTAGAAAAAACAAACAGAAAATTAACGAAAAACTGAGATTTTTACTCAAAACAAGTTTTTGAATAAATATATTTTGTTTTAGATTCTGAGTGAAACGATGAATGTATTGATTTTACAATGATGTGTGTTTTTTTTTTTATTTTTTTTTTATTTTTTTTTTTATTTTTATATTTATTTTTTTTGTGTCTGTGTACACGATAAGTAGTCGAAATAATGCTTCGATTTTCGACTTCAGTATCTTGTTCGATTGGAAAGTGAATATCGTTGGTGCATTGGGGAGGTCAAAATTTAAATTTCCCAGTAGTTTTCAAGAGCGCCGGGAAAAACAAAAGAAAAATTAAGGAAAAAACGGGAATTTTTACGCAAAATCGATTTTTCAGAAAATTGAATTTGGTTTTTGGTGTAACTTTAAAACAAATGACCGTAGGCACATGCAATTTTCACTGGTTGTTTATATTTGCATCTTCTATACACGATAACATTTTCAAAATATTTTGATTTATTTTGAACAGTTTAGGGACATTTTCATTTTTAGTTTTTTTTTAGTTTTTTTTCTAGAAATATCAATAAAATGTTATTTGTTGGTTGCGAAAGCTTGAAAATTTAATAGAAGGTTCCTAATATATTGTTTCAAAGGCAGATGAAAAATATTAAAAATCCTTAGTCACAATTTTTTTTTATAAGCATTTAAAGTTCAAAAATTGACAAAATATGGAAAAATCACGAAAATTAGCAAATTATTTTGAGTTAAGAATTCGTAAAAATTTTTCTTTTTAAATCTAAGATTTGAAAATCTAATACAAGATTACTCATAAGATTGTCTACCTTTATCAATAAAAAAATCTCTACAGGAAAGTCAAATTAAATTTTTATGAGCGTTTGAAATTCAAATTTTTACAACATTGGATATTCACTCGATTTCTCATGTGGCAATTTCCTTTTTTTGTTGTAATTAAAAAACGAATTACTGTAGATACATGAAAATTTCACTGAATGTTTATATTAGCATTTCCTATACACCATACAATTTTGAAAATATTTTGACTCTTTTTGAGCCGTTTACGGACATTTTCAGTTTTCAATTTTTTTGGTTTTTTTTTCTATAAATATCAATTAAGTTTTATCTGTTGGGCCAAAAAGTGTAAAAATTTAATACAAGGCTCCTGATATATTGTTACAATATCAGTTGAAAAATATTAAAAATACATAGGCACAATTTTTTTTTATAAGCATTTTAACATCGAATTTTGACAGAATTTTTCAAAATCTCGAAAATTATTAATCATCGTAATTAATAAATTATAAAATGTTCAGTTTTTATAGCTAAGGATTGAAAATTTAAAACAAGATTCCACGTAAGTAGTTAATTCTCTTACCGAAAAATCTAAAAAATATACAATCACAGTTTATTTTTATAGTCATTTTATGTTCAAATTTGGACGAAATTACATATTAAAAAACCTAGTTATTTTGTTGTGATTATATAATATTATTCGTGGGTACCTACTTGAAACTTCTAAAGTGTACTATTATATATATATGATAGTATCAGGGTTTGTTGTTAGTGTATAACGTGTTATAAGTACCTAATGGATATTGTGATAATGTGATATGATTAATTTGGAATTTATTATAGGTCAATTTTTTTTTAATACCATAGATATGTATATAATTAGTCTTAACCTAGACTGTCATACCGTCTTCGCTCAGAATCGTTTTTCTTATACAATGATATTGTATCATTGAATTCAAATTTAATAGCATCAATTATACAGTGACCCACTTGTAACCTACTGTACAGCAGAGCGACATCCACTTACCCACCTTTTTTTTATTGTAAATCTAAAAAAAATAACCTTGGATGCATAGAATTTTTGAAATCTTTCGGTTATTTTTGAGCTATTTAAAGACATAAGAACATTTCAAGTTTTATTATTTTTCTTTCAATTATTGTCGATAAAAAAATATTTGCTCTGTTAAAAAATAGAAAATATAATGCAACGATCCTTATATGTTGTAGTTAGTGGAAATTAAATACAAAAGTTGACCATAAATCCAAAATATTTTTTTATGTTAAAATTTTGACAAAATTCATCAAATTCCCCGAAAATTAGCAAATTATTTTGAGTTAGAAATTCATAAAAATTATACTAAGATTAGAATATCTAAGATTTTAAATTCTTATAGGTGCAAGGTTCTTCTTAATTTTTTCTACATTTAAAAAATGTTTACCGGAAAGTCAAATTTTACAAACGTTTGGAATTAGACATTGGATTTTCACCCGTAAATTAACAAATTCTCTAATAATAATTTTCTTATTTTGTTGTTATTCAAAAACTATTTACCGTAGATACCTACTTGAAATTTTCATCAAATATATATTTTATCCTTTTCTATATACGATAACATTTTTGAAATACTGTGACTCGTTTTTAGTTATTTTTTAGACATTTGACATATTTAATCTTATTAATTTTTTATTCTATATATGGAAATACATTTTATTTGTTGCGTAAAAAAGCTTGAAAGTTAAATACAAGGTTTCTAATAAATAGTTATAATTCATTTTTGTGCAATATGCGTCTATAAATAAAAAAAGGTGGGTAAGTGGATGTCGCTCTGCTGTACAGTAGGTTACAAGTGGGTCACTGTATAATGGATGCTATTAAATTTGAATTCAATGATACAATATCATTGTATAAGAAAAACGATTCTGAGCGAAGACGGTATGTCAGTCTAGGTTTAATACAAATTATATACATATCTATGGTATTAAAAAAAAAATTGACCTATAATAAATTCCAAATTAATCATATCACATTATCACAATATCCATTAGGTACTTATAACACGTTATACATCAATATCAACAACAAACCCTGATACTATCATATATATATAATAGTAAACTTTAGAAGTTTCAAGTAGGTACCCATGAATAATATTATATAATCACAACAAAATAACTAGGTTTTTTAATATGTAATTTCGTCCAAATTTGAACATAAAATGACTATAAAAGTAAACTGTGATTGTATATTTTTTAGATTTTTCGGTAAGAGAATTAACTACTTACGTGGAATCTTGTTTTAAATTTTCAATCCTTAGCTATAAAAACTGAACATTTTATAATTTATTAATTACGATGATTAATAATTTTCGAGATTTTGAAAAATTCTATCAAAATTCGATGTTAAAATGCTTATAAAAAAAAATTGTGCCTATGTATTTTTAATATTTTTCAACTGATATTGTAACAATATATCAGGAGCCTTGTATTAAATTTTTACACTTTTTGGCCCAACAGATAAGACTTAATTGATATTTATAGAAAAAAAAACTAAAAAAATTGAAAACTGAAAATGTCCGTAAACGGCTCAAAAAGTGTCAAAATATTTTCAAAATTGTAGGGTGTATAGGAAATGCTAATATAAACATTCAGTGAAATTTTCATGTATCTACAGTAATTCGTTTTTTAATTACAACAAAAAAAGGAAATTGCCACATGAGAAATCGAGTGAATATCCAATGTTGTAAAAATTTGAATTTCAAACGCTCATAAAAATTTAATTTGACTTTCCGGTAGAAATTTTTTTATTGATAAAGGTAGACAATCTTATGAGTAATCTTGTATTAGATTTTCAAATCTTAGATTTAAAAAGAAACATTTTTACGAATTCTTAACTCAAAATAATTTGCTAATTTTCGTGATTTTTCCATATTTTGTCAATTTTTGAACTTTAAATGCTTATAAAAAAAAATTGTGACTAAGGATTTTTAATATTTTTCATCTGCCTTTGAAACAACATATTAGGAGCCTTCTATTAAATTTTCAAGCTTTCGCAACCAACAAATAAAATTTTATTGAAATTTTTAGAAAAAAAACAAAAAAAAAATGGAAAATGAAAATGTCCCTAAACAGTTCAAAATAAATCAAAATATTTTGAAAATGTTATCGTGTATAGAAAATGCAAATATAAACAACCAGTGAAAATTTCATGTATATACGTTCATTTGTTTTAGAGTTACACCAATAACCAAAATCGATTTTTTGGAAAATCAATTTTGCGTAAAAATTCCCGTTTTCCTTAATTTTTTTTTTTTTTTTATTTTTTTATTGAACAAACATAATATTTACAATCTGTATTTACAAGTGATACAATAAGTAAATGTGATGATTTTTGGTAAACAGGAGGGGGAAGTCACCCAGTGGCGGCACCCCGTGGAAGCGATTTAGGGAGAAAGTAGGTCCCTACACCAGTTCCTTTTCAGGCGCCTGGGTGGATTACCTGGAATTTGATTTGATGAAAGTTGGGTGATTATAGGATTAGAGTGAGTAATGAATGTTTTGTGTGTTTTTTTATAGGTGATTTTGGCAAGGCTGTTTAAGGTTGGAATGCAGATGTCTTTATGGAGTGATTCATTGGTAATATACCATGGGGCACCAGATATTAAACGTAGACAAATAGACTGAAACGCCTGTATTGTTCTAGTATTTGAGGGTTTGGCTGATCCCCAAAGTTGTATGCCATAGTACCACATGGGTCTTAGAAGAGCCATGTATATTGTTCTTTTAGTTTTTAATGAGAGCTTTGAGCGGAGTAAGGGTCTAAGAAGGTGGAGTCTTGAATTGAGAGCTTTACGCTTGTTTTTTAAGTGGGGACCCCATGTAAGGCGTTTGTCAAGAATTAAACCCAAATATTTGGTTTGCGTGGAGGATGGAATTTGTTCATTGCC